AAATAAAATGAAGTAGAAGGGAAATTCTCTTCTAATAAAGAGTTTAAGAAATCTATTAGGGTTCCTAGGTTTGGAATGTGTTGCAAAAGAAAAATATATTAGGTGAGGAAAAACAAGAAAGCAGAAACTATATAAAGAAGTAAATAAAATAAAGCCATATTATATATTCAATATCAGCACATTTTTGTTGTAATGCATGAAAACAAGTGATAAACTGATATCCACAAATTTAGTACGATCTTGAACTTCAGCACAGAATTATATAGGCTGGGTTTTCCTAATAGTTTATAAAAAATTTTTCTTCTACAGGAAATTTTTCCCAGAAAATTCACTCCTTAAAATTTCTTTGGAAATACCAACACAAGCCTGTAGATAGGATAATCAATAGATGAAACTCACAAGTCTATGCTATGAAAAATCAGAACTAGAAAGTTTGGATATAGAGCAGTGAAAGGACTTTGCAAAATGCTTTTACTTCTTAGAAGGAAAAAGTAATTGAACAAACACAATGGGATCACTTTTGTGTCACTAGACTGGATATGGGGAGTTGGAGATGAATCAAAGATGACCATAATTTCTGGCTAGGATAATTGGATGGTGTTGCCACTCAGCTAACAGACAGCAACATGTGGGTAATACTACAACCACACCTAAGTATGTACTAGCTATCTACCTACTGAGAATGTAAACAAGCTGCTCTAATCACTAATTAGAAGTTCCAAGGAGTTATAAACAAATATTGCAAAATCTCCTTAACTTGCATTTGTGATCAATCAAACTTGAGTGACCACAGAAGTAGGAATGATTAGGCAAATTCATAAAACAGAAAAGAGATGACTCTATTTTTAAAAATTAAGAGCAAAAAGATGCTATTAATTTTAAACTGGCTTTTAATTACTAAAGCAGGTTGTTACCAAACTATTTAAAGTATCATATTTCTTCAAAATACTTCAGAAATTAAACTGATCTGTTAATCACTAAATATTTCTGATACAACTACTATGCCAGGCATTATGCCTGCATCTCAGGATAGTAACATGATTATAGGTTTGTTCTTGCTTTTTAATTTGTGGAGTTTGCTGGACAGAGTGGAATAGTAAGGGGAATATAATAGCAAAATCTTATTCACAATTAACTATATAATATGCAATTCATATTTCTGACATTATACTACTAGAATGATAAAATGAATTAGAAATTAAATTCCTCACTATTAAAACAAAAGCTTCAGAAAACAATACTTACCTAATCTCTTGTACTTTTAAATTTATATTTCTATGTAATGAGAACAGATATTCAGAACAATGAACTCGAAACAGTAAAATATCTCCAATCATAAAGAACCTCAGTTGTAAGGCAAGAAAAAGGGACAAGATTTAAAAAGGTTGAATATATTTATACTAAAACTGAAATGAAGAGTATTCTAAATCAAGTGAGTTAAAGATTCTATTTCCTTATATTCAAATTTTATGGTGACTGGCTGAATATTAGACCTCGGCTATTAAACAAAATCCAACACTTACTGCCCTCCTCTTTCTACAAGTGTCTGGCAGAGGTATTTTCTTGCATTCCTGTGAGTTGGACAGTTTTCTAATGCAAGCTCAAAATCTTCTATTGCTTTGTTCAGACTTCCTTTTGTCGCATACCTAGAGTCATGAAACAAAATTAGATGAATTTATCTTGTGAGCTATTCATAAATCTTGTTCACATTTACCTTGCAAACATTCCTTAAAATCCCTAATTCACTTACAAGGCTCCACGTGCTACCAAAGCTTCCACATTTTGTTTATCTATTTCCAGAGCTTTATTGTATTCATTCATAGCATCCACATGGCGTCCAACCTTAAAATAATCAACTCCAATCTTCACACTAAAAGAGACATTTGTAAAGTATCACAAACACTTCACAGAGTATCTAAATAAAATGTTAGTGTGGATAATTTTAAAAGCAAATGTCCTCAAATTTGGGAAATATTTAGTTTTCAAAATACTCTCAATATACCTAAGAAGCAGTATGCCTTTGGATATTTCATAACATATTTATGAAACTAAGGTATCAGTGTATCAATTCCTTTTGAAAAAAATTGGAAATGCTGGATAAAACTTAAGTCTGTTGGGGGAACAAGGTAAAATTACTTTTAGAAAAGCTAATGTTAAAAAGACATCACTTTAATTCATTTTAAAGAAATTTTGGTCTTAATAATGATTAAGTATGCTTGCCTTACCCTGACCTCTTAGACTAGATAATGTAAATTGTTGAAAGACAGTCTTCATACCATTTTAAAGCCCAAGATGCCGATTGTTTCTTTCTCAACGCAGAAGCAAAATCATCTTCAGAGAAATTTTTGCTATTAAAGAAAAGTTAAACCAGAAATACTTTTGAAATAATTATACTTCACTCTGCCTGACAGGCACTCAACACTGAAAGAGAGAATCCCAAGCAAGAAATCTGCACTTCATTTACACAGCAAAATCCTTGCACTGTCAGACATTATGATCATTGTTAAACAGTATTTTTCTTTACCATATATAAAAAATTCTTATAAAAAGTTTCTTATCCTTCTCTACTTGGTCACATGGCACACATTTAATCACTGATAAAGAGCCCAATCCAAGAGGAGATGGAATCACTTGGTTTATTCAACCTTTGGCATAGTCCTGCTACTAGGCTTAGTATGGTCAAATATGTCCTTCAGCTATGAAGCTTCTGAACTTAGCACCACTCCCCTCACTATCTAAGAGAGTAATACTGATTTACCTTTGTAGGCCTCTCATTAAAGATGGTGGATTAGATTCATCTATTCCTAGTTTTTCTAGAAGGAATTCAACTACGCCTGGATTAGCAAATCCCAAGGAACTCTGCATGATATTTTCATAGGAATCCAAAGAATTGCTATTTAGTTCAATACTCCTCCTTAAAAAAAAATACACACAAACACAAGAAATATAGAAATGACTAATATAATTTACACATCCCATTTCTATTAATGAAATAACATCATATGAGGTTTAAATATCAATATCTCTTTGTACATGAAGGTGTGGCAATATTATGGTTCTTTTTACCAAGTCAGAAATAATTTAAGAGTTATAAAAATCAAATGAACACATTTTGCAATAAGAGAAATTAAAATTCCCCTTTGTTGTCAAAAGTTTTCCAAAATTTGCAACTTTTTTAAACCAAGAAACTTTTGTAATGAACTGTTGTTGAAATAATATGGATAAATTACCTGTAGTACAAAGGAAGCTCTTCAGCACTAATTACACCTAATTTAATACCAGAGAGATGTGGTGGAAGAGATGAGCTATACAGAGATACTGCCAGCTTTTCATGGTATCTGTCAATATCCTTGATTCCAGCTTAAAAGAGAGAGAACTAAGCTGATTAATAAGAAAATGTAAACTAACATAAAAAAATTTCCCAAACACTACCCTCATTAGACTTTATTTTCAAAATTAATAAAAGCAAAAATTCAACAACTTTTACTTTTTATTAGTATGGTGAAACTCATCACCTCGAATGATGTCACCAGTTTGGTAATATGATAAAGGGTCTCCGTGGTTACTATGAGAAGGCACATCTCTTAATGGACAAAGAGCCTGCAATGAGAAATATTTTAAAATATCAGACATTTCAATATTTGGTGTGAACAGTTGTCTTCTTTTATCTTAGTTGTTCAATATGGACAGCTAATAGTTGACATGACACTGAAAAACAACTAACAACATAAAGTCTAAATTTCAGTAAGGATTTTAGTTAAAAGTAATTTCTGTGTCCAAACACAGTAAACTTTGTTTTCTGGTTCAGTTCAAAAACTCACCATGGGTGAAATAGCTCACACCTGTAATCCTAGCACTTTGGGAGGCCAAGGTGGGAGGACTACTTGAGGTCAGGAGTTAGAGACCAGCCTGAGCAACATAGTGAGACCCTGTCTGTACAAAAAATTTAAAAAGTTAGCCAGGGTGGTGGCTTAGGCCTGTAGTTCCAACTACTGAGGAGGCCGAAGCAGGATGATTGCTTGAGCCTAGGAGTTTGAAATTGCAGTGAGCTATTACAATGCCACTGGACTCTAGCCTGAACAACAGAGGAAGACTCTGTCTCAAAAAACAGAAATCAAAAAACTCATGAAAACTTCCACTAGTGTCAGGAACCAAGTATAATTATGGATGATCAAAAAAGATATTTTGCATCCATCAAATATAAAACTAAAATTTGTCCAGAAAGTACAGGGATTCCAATGAAAATGAAATGTGAATTCTCCAAAGTTTTGTCCATTATCCAGCCTGTGATACCTTCTGCTTTTCTTCCTTTTCATCTGCCTCGATACACAGCAAATATTCAATCTTTTATAGTGACCAATTAGTTCTAATTCAGGACTATTCATCTTGGGCAAAGTATCTGCTCAAAACATACAAATCACTTACATTTAATTATTATAAACATATAAATGACAGTTTTTCTTTAAATTATCCACATGCAAGTATCTAATGCCAAATATTAAATAATTATGACTACGTATGTTCATCTAGAAGAAACTAGTCCAGAATACCAATTAACGTCACCATGTCTATTGATATCTCTTAAAGTATTTAAAAAAGGACACTGTCCCTGCCAACCGAGGAGTCCAAAAAACTCCCAAACCCAGAAATGGAGGAAGAAACTGTGTAAATAACTCTTTCACATAAGTGATTTTTTAAAAAGAAAACTTTACTTCTCTTGAATTAATATTTATTTCCCAAAAGCATCTTGGCAAGTATATTTAAGCCCAACTGGATGCAAATAATTTCTTGCCCCGAGATAATTTTTCAAAAACAGAAGCAATCCAAATAACCGAAAAGTAACTTACGGAGATTTCTAAGTGGGATATATCTCTCATGATGCCACTTCCTAAACAGATCAACACCATGAAAAAACCAAATTCCCGAATGGAACTAATTCTTCCAATAACTATATCACCACGCTCAATATCTCTGAAAAACAGCTCTCTCCGATCCATACTAGGTATCTCCATGAATTGCTCTAAAGGTGGCATGACTGCATAATAATCTGAAAAAACAATTCACAAAATCACTAACAATAGTACTGAGTTCCGTTCCGCTTGAAGTACTGTTAAACCAAACTGCAAATCCGCAATCTTAAAAAGATATTAAGGCTAAACTCACCTTCGTTGTCTTCATTAATTTCAGAAGTTGCAGATGCATCTGATTTCCAGGAAAGCGCAAAGAGCAAATCCGCTTTTTTAGAAATAAATTTTTGTATTTCTATGTTGTCAACTCTCTTCTCTTTCCTTAAAAAGAAACAAAATTTATAAAAATTGGTTCACTTACAAAGCCTTAAGTACAAGCTTCTACGACAGCTTTCATCGTACAATCCACTCCATCCTGAGCTTCAAGGCTTACATCCTTAGAGAAAAAGTTTTAACTTGGCATTCCCTCATTCACCAACCTGGAGGTGGGGGGCGGGGAAACTTAAAAAAGTGACTCCTCCAGCTCCAGACACGAAAACCCAAGGAATTTTACTTAAAGAATCTGCGACAATGCTAAACAGTACCAGAGAAAAAGTTCAACCCGCATCCCGCATTGCACACACTAGGTGTGCGGACCCTCCACTGAGCCCTGCGCAGCAGCGCGCAGTCCTCACGTGCTCTCGGCCGCAGCTCCACTTGCGGGAGCCGCCAGGCTGCGGTAGTGGAGCCCCGAGCTGCGTCCCTTCCCCACGACTCGCAGCGGCGCAGCTTTCTCCTTACCTGCCCTGTAACTGGTGCTGGGGTGGCGGGCCCCGGCCGGGCTCGGCCACCGACCCTAGGAGGCTCCGGAAGTGTGGATTGTCCTGCTGTTCGCTCCGGAGCAGCGAGAGTAATGACGACCCATGGCAATTCAGCGACTGCCGCAGGAGGTCCCGGTCCATGGCTAGAGATTGCTGGGCTCGACGGCCGATGGGCTACTAGCCCCCGGTGCCGTACTTGAGCCGGGGGGGTCCAGGAGGCCGAGGAAGCAGCCTAGAGGCCGCCGGAAGCTCACGGCACCGTCACTTACATGCTTGCCTCCCGGAAATGTTATGGAGCCGCCCCCAGCGGCGGCGCGGCGGCTCTCGGCGTCGGTCTCGCGAAACCGAGTGAGACTACGGAAGCCCAAAGTGAGCTAAGAATTTCCTCAACTGAGGGCGGGCTAGGACTTTAAGGTTGTGATGTGTGTGAGAAGCTTTTTAAAATTTACGGGTGTCGTTATTACGTCGAAATAACCTGAGCTCTCATCTAGGCTAATTAATAATTCCTTCTCGTGTTCACTGAGGCGCTTCTACGTGGCAGTGCCAGGGTGAGAATCCGGATGAGTCGCACCAGGTTCTTTCCTCAAAGTACACCCTGGATAAATCAATACCTGTGTCGGCGGGCGTAACCACATTGAAACGGCTGCTCTGGGAAGGTTTCCTGGTCGTCTAAAGGGCAGAAGAGGCCGGGCGCAGTGGCTCACGCCTGTAATCCTAGCTCTCTGGGAGGCCGAGGCGGGCGGATTGTTTGAGCTCAGGAGTTCGAGACCAGCCTGAGCAAGAGCGAGACCCCGTCTCTACTAAAAATAGAAACAAATTAATCGGACAACTAAAAATATATAGAAAAAATTAGCAGGACATGGTGGCGCATGCCTGTAGTCCCAGCTACTCGGGAGGCTGAGGCAGGAGGATCGCTTGAGCCCAGGAGTCTGAGGTTGCTGTGAGCTAGGCTGACGCCCCGGCACTCACTCTAGCCCGGGCAAAAGAGTGTAGACCCTGTCTCAACAACAACAAAAAAAGAATGGATAAAGGACAGAAGAAAGACAGGACACTGACATTTGTTAAGCAACTGGAGTTGTGTTCTCCATCTATACCGCGTGTAGTGATTTTAGAGTTATAAAACCAGAATGGCTTTAATGTCTAGAGATAGGCATATGCCATTCTAGTTTTATAATAAATAATATATATATGTGTTTCTTTTTCTTTCTTTAGTTTGTCTTAGTGGTGGTTCAAAATTTAGTGTCCATAAGACTTACTGTATAATGGTTTGTACGGAAAAATCGATTACTTATGGATAATTCAAGTGATTTTCAAAGGTAATTTCAACTTGAGTCCCGCTCCCCCCTTACTTAGTGATTTGAGAATCTAACCACTGTGCCTCACTGTATTCTCATTTTAGAGAACGAGAAAACAGGCCCAGAGAGTCTCAATAAATTGCTCAACTTTACCCAGCTAGTAAGAGGCTAGAGTTAGGATTCCAGTCTAGGTCTGATAGATCTTGACAGGCAGAGTTGATGGACAGTATTTTATCATATAAAAGGTCTAACTAACCCGAATTTTGAGATAATATGCCTTTGTTTTATTCCAATATAAAATCTGTACCATTTAAATATGTGTAGGTCAGTAGAGGCCTATTGAACAGAAATAAATGGTAGCAGTGAGTTTTCCCCCTCTCAGGCCATGTGTCTTTGAGGAGATCAATATGCCCTTAACTATCTTACCACCTCTATAGGAGACCTAGTCCAGAACGTAAAGGATGCCTCCACACTATTTTGTGGAAAATTCAGGCAAATAGATAAAAGAGTTTACTAAGAATTGAGAAAATGCAACAAAGAAGAGTGCAAGTTTAAAAGGTGATAACTTTCAAGCCGCCTTAGGCATATCAAGAAACTTTAATAAATGGTACAGGCTGATTTGTGTTAAGCTATAACTCTAGAGAATGGTTGCTTTTAGGAAAGGATGTTGTTACTGAAAAGGAAAACTGACCACTAAAAATAATGTGTAGATATCTTGATAAATATGTCATTTTGGTTAGAATCAATCTGTCATCAAGGACCTAATTATTTGGAGTGACTGAGAAACCAGTATCTGAGAACAGGGAACAGGATGCCAAATAGTGACACCTAGCCTGGGAGTGTCACCTTGTAAGGCCATTTTTGAGAAGCACATGCTTTCATCACTATGGGATCTGTCTGTTCTTCCTAACTCCAACACTAGAGTAATCCACAATACCCCATACTTGAACATCTAAACTGGCCATGAAAATAGACAGCAGCTGCTTTTAGAGGGTAAGCAGCATTCATCAAGAGTGACATTTAATGGATGCCTGCTGTACACAGAGTAGAGACAGAAGAAATGAACTTTAAGCAAGTGTACTCAAAACTTGGGTTGGGGTTTCTACCGTTGGTTAGTGCTGGTCTTATATGGAGGTAGCCACGTTAGTTAGGTGCCAAAGGCAGCCTGTTCTTCGCTTCCTAAATACTACTCTCACTGCAGGGGATAAAGCCTTGTACAATTAAAGGTATATTTGAACTCATTTTCTGCTGGACAGATACGCCTTTGACTTTGAAGGAAGGGGACAGAGCACTGGGTCTTTGACATAGGACTGAAGGAGGTGAGGAGAGAAAGTAAGGGGACTAGTTTTGTTTCTCATTTTAGAGAAACCAGTCCCACATATGGGGCTTCTCAAGGTGGGCACAGAAAGAAAATACTGTCTTCTTTTTCACTTCTTGCTTTACCTTTCAAAAAAAAACTTTAAAAAATCTTTCCCAAGAAACTTTTCTATATTAAGCAATATGAATAATTAAATGAAAATGTTGGGGGAAGGGGCAGGGCAGAGCATGAGGTGGAGGAGAAAGAAGTCAGAACATCCAAAACAGTCAGAACTTTGGTGTCTGGCTCCTGGGCCTATTTTTATTGTGATGTCAAATTCTATTTCTAAATAAATACATATTTGCATCCTTTAACAGACACTCTGGACCCTGGAGATATAAAGATGAAGAAGATGATAGAAATATAAAGATGGTTCTTGAGTGGCTCACAGCACAACAGAGGAGTAGACATAAAAAGAAACAAATATGGCACAGTGGTAAGTGTAATACTTTTGTTGTGGACACCTACTAGGGTGTCTGCTTAGATCCCTGTTCTCTGTGAAGTGAGGTAGTGTGAATTGCTGGGGGTAAAAGAAGGGAGGGGGAGGCAAGTATATGCAGTTAAGGCAGAGAGGGCGGTATAATTAAAGAAGTAGGGATGTGAAAAGCAACATGCATTCTGGAGACAGCAACTTGGACCTTGAGGTAAGTAGGGATATTTTAATTATAGACATTTTGGTTATATAAGTGTGTTACTTCAGGTAGGCTACAGATTGATAGAAACCCCCTGAATCCTCTGTGCACACACACACATACACACATACAAAAACACAGAGTAAATTCTTGATTTATTTGGCAAAGAACACAGAAACTTAGGTGAAGCAAGGTAGTCACATAAAGCAGTGGCAGAAGTAGCATATCTCAATGTAGCTTTTCCTGGATCTCCCATTTCCCCAGATAATATGTACAGCTGCTAGTGACACCACCTGCAAAAGATAAAGTCTTTTTTTAATCTTAGAAACTTTTATATTACCAGTTATGAAGGACATGCAAATAATCCACGACTTTATAAGAAATACTTGTAGGCAGTTTCTTTCTGGTTCTTGACCTGATGCAGACAATTTCAGCAAGGCCTCTTCCTCATCTTGCGTTAAGGATGAGGTGTCAGGGAGGGTGGGTACCATGTAAGACCCAGGGTCTGTCATGATACCTCTAAGTTTAATTTTTCAGCATCTTTTTTATGATTCTCCTCTTTTTTTAAAAAACAGACTTTATTCTTTTAGAGCAGTTTTGGGTGCACAGCAAAAGTGGAAGATATGGAAATTTCCCTATGTCTCCTACGCCCACACAAGGATAGCTTACCCATTATCAACATTTTCCATCAGAGTCCTACATTTGTTACAATTGATGAGCCTACATTGACACATCATTATCATACAAAGTCCATAGTTTACTTTAGGTTTCACTCTTGGTATTGTACATTCTATGGGTTTGGACAAATATATAATGACATAATATTCACCATCATAATATATTACAAAGTAGTTTCATTGCTCTAAAAATCCTCTGTGCTCTATCTATTCTTCCTTCCCTCCTTAGAATCTGCAACCACTGATCTTTTTACTGTGTTCATGTTTTTGCTATTTCCAGAATGTTATATAGTTGGTGTCATACAGTATGTAGTCTTTTCAGACTGACTTCTTTGACTTAGTAATATGCATTTAAATTTATTCCATGTCTCTTTATGGCTTGATAGCTCATTTCTCTTTAGTGCTGAGTAATATTCCATTTTCTGGATATATAACAGTTATCCATTCTCCTGCTGAAGGATATCGTGGTTTCTTTCAAGTTTAAGCAGTTATAAACAAAGCTGCTATAAGCATTGATGTCCAGGTTTTTGTGTGAACATAAGTTTTCAACTCCTTTGGATAAATACCAAGGAGTGCAATTGCTGGATTGTATGTTAAGAGTATGTTTAGTTTTGTAAGAGAGCACCAAACTCTTTTCCAAAGTGGCTGTACCATTTTGCATCTTCACCAGGAATGAATGAGAGATTTCCTGTTGCTCCACATCATCACTGGCATTTAATATTACCAGTGTTCTGGATTTTGGCCATTCTAATAGGTATGTAGTAGTATCTCATTGTTGCTGCAATTTGCCTTTTCCTGATGACATTTGATGGGAACATCTTTTCATTAGCTCATTTGCCATCTGTTTATCTTCTTTGGTGGTGTCTGTTAAGGTCTTTTGGCCCATTTCTTAATTGGGTTGTTTGTTTTCTTGTTGTTCAGTTTTAAGAGTTTTTTGTATATGTTTTTGGTAAATATTTTCTCTTAGCCTGTGGTTTGACTTTTTATTGTCTTGATGGTGTCTTTTTCACAGCAGAAATTTTTAGTTTTAACGAGGTTCAGCTTATCAGTTCTTTCTTTCATGGATCGTGCCTTTGGTATTGTGTCTAAAAAGTCATCACCAAACCCAAGGTCATCTAGATTTTCTCATATGTTATTTCCTAGGAGTTGTATAGTTTTGCATTTTACATTTAGATCTATGATCTATTTTGAGGTACTTTTGTGAAGGATGTAAGACCTGTGTGTAGATTTACTTTTTTGCATGTGGATGTCCTGTTGTTCCAGCACCATGGACTGAAAAGACTATCTTTTTTCATTGTAGTA